TGAATCTCAGGCATTGTATTTTCAGTCCCATGATTTCATTTTTTAAAATAACTTCTACTTCTTTACTGAGATAGTCAGGCTTTCTTTTTCTTTTTTTTATTATTATTTTTCACGAGAACCTATGACTATTGAGGGATTTTTAAGGTGGCTGCTTTAGAACCTTTTTATCAGATAATGCCAGTATCTGATTCACATCAGTATTGACATCAGTTATTGATTTTTCTTATTCAAAATTTGATTTTGCTGGTTCTTGGTATTAGAGGTGATTTTCTATTGTGTCTTGGACATTTTTATTATTATATTAGGAGATGCTTGATCCCACTTAAATCTTCTATTTTAACATGCCATTACCTTGTTTACGTTCAGCATGTAGGTTCTGGTCCACTTTGGTGGGTTTTCATTCCAGTGACAACCTGGCTTCCTGAGCCCTCCTAATGCTGTTCTGGTCCACTTCATCCCTCCTGTGTTCTGAGCTTCCCACTCCATCCCTGCTGGTGCTGTCTGCAGGGCAAGAAGGTTCTTTCCTGGCTGCCTGCCGTTGCTAAGCAACCTCCTAGCGAAGTAGAAACCACCTGCCTGGGTCTCCTTGGTGAAGAGCCAAGGCTAAAGAGCAAAGAGATGCACAGCTCCATCGCTGCCACAACCACAGGCTGGCCGGATTAACACCAAACTGGATTATGGGGTGAAGGCTTCAATGCTGTCGGTTTGCTTTCTTGATTTTTGACTGCTTGTCTCTCTTGGGGGCAGTTTCTCTAGAGCTTCCCTCTACAGAGGTTTAACCCTTCATGCCCTTTCCTCATGCCTTATTTCTCCCTTCAGATCATCACCTTCAGGGACTACCTACCCATCGTGCTGGGCCGTGAGATGCAGAAGTGGATCCCCCCATACCAAGGCTACAACGAATCTGTAGATCCCCGAATTTCCAATGTCTTTACCTTTGCTTTCCGCTTTGGCCACTTGGAGGTCCCTTCTACTATATTTCGCCTGGATGAGAATTATGAGCCCTGGGGGCCAGAACCAGAGCTGCCCCTGCACACCCTGTTCTTCAACACCTGGAGGATGGTCAAAGATGGTATGGCCTTCTGGGAAAGTGCCCTCCTGGCTCTCCCACTCTGCAGTCTGCTGGGAGGGAATCCTGGCTTAGGAGTCAGACTCCACATACCTCCCCTATGACCCTGGGCAAGTGAATTCATCTCATGGAGCCTCAGTTTGCTCCTTTGGAAGAATGAGAACAATAATCGTACTCAATTCATGAGGCTATTCTAAGAGATTAGCTGAGGTAGACAAGCAGAGCACCCTCCAAGGCTTGCTAACGCACAGGAAGTGATTGATAAATATTCGTCATTACTATTTCTTTCCTCCTTCCTGCTTCTAAGCTGTCTAGGATTTCTCTGCCTCCACTCCCTGCCCTTGGCTTCTCTGACCTTTGAAGAAGGAATTCATGGGCTTGGTGAATAAGCAGCTCTTTCCTGCTCTCCTCCAGAGCTGTCCACCTCCATAAAGTGCCAAAGGTGGAAAACAGCCCTCCTTTGTCCTAGGCTGGGGTTGGCTTTCCTTAGGGCGTAGCAAGTCAGGGCCATCTCCTAAGGCTCCTACCGCCTCTTCCTGTGCTACAGTGCTCCCAAGAGGATGAATGGGGGAGGGGAGGGAAGAGCTAACTTCATGAACTAATGTTGTCCTATTCATGCCATCATCCCGTGAGCTCCTCTTTCTGTCACCCCACAGTCAGGCAGCATAGACTCCCCTTTCCCTGAGCATGTTCAGTTGGTGCTTCTTGAACCACAGAAGGTGTCCACACCTGACTCCCATCCCAAGGATGGCCTCTGGGTCTCCCTTTGCAGGTGGAATTGATCCTCTGGTTCGGGGCCTGCTGGCCAAGAAGGCCAAGTTCATAAATCAGAATAAAATGATGACAGGAGAGCTGCGCAACAAGCTCTTCCAGCCAACTCACACCATCCATGGCTTTGACCTGGCTGCCATTAACATCCAGCGAGGCCGGGACCACGGGCAGCCTGGTGAGTGGGTGTGGGGTCACGGCTGGCCTGGAGAACTCTTAGCTGCCTTTGGGGCCCCCAGAACCTCTCCCCAGAAACCCACAAGCTCTGATCAATTCTGGGCAAAAGGCTGGGCCAGTTGGTACAACCCCCTTGGCTCATCCATGGAATGGACTCTTTCATTCTCCCGCATGCAGAGACACGACCACATTCTGGTGCTGTCTTGGAGTTCCTTAGATGAAAAAGAGATCAGCAAAATCCTAAGACCAGTTAAAAGCCCAGAAAAGATTGAGAAAAGAATAAGAAAAAGCCAAAGACTGTTGATACTTTTTCTTTTGTACCCATGAAAGGCAATTAAATGTAATTAAGAGCCAGACCCCCTGAGTTCAAATCCCAGCGGTGCCATTTACTAGCTAGGGGACCTGGGTCAAGTCACTTAACATTTCTGTTCCTTAATTCACATATTTGCACAGTGCTTAGAACAGTGCGGGGAGCCATGGTAAATACCCTGAAAGCTGCCCCGCCCTGCCAAGACTGAAAAACCACAGATGTGAACAATAGTCAGTACCTCTGCTGCTCCAGAAGCTATGAGTCCAGATTTTGGGGGGCTCATGGAGCTGGAATGGGTATGGCCCCAAAGAAGGCCATAAGCAGGAAGTCCCTGCCGTGAGACAGCTTCCGCCTCCCACCCTAGGGTACAACTCCTGGAGAGGCTTTTGTGGCCTCTCGCAGCCGCAGACCCTAGAAGAGCTGAGTGCTGTGCTGAAGAATGAGGTGCTGGCCAAGAAGTTGCTGGATCTCTACGGGACACCTGACAACATCGACATCTGGGTGGGGGCCACTGCTGAGCCCCTGGTGGAGAGGGGCCGGGTGGGGCCCCTCCTGGCCTGCCTCCTGGGCCACCAGTTCCAGCGGGTCCGAGATGGAGACAGGCAAGTGAAACCTCCAGCAGGGGAGAGTGGGGATCCCCTCTCCTAGGAGACTGTCCCAGCGTCCTGCCTGGGGACTAACTCCTCAGTACAGGTGCAGCTTCTCATGTTCCCAGTGACCTCTTCTGTCAGCATGCCGCTGGACCATGTGATGAGACACATGCTGCTTCTTTCTGTGTGTGCAGATTCTGGTGGGAAAACCCGGGAGTCTTCACGGAGAAGCAGCAGGACTCCCTGTGGAAAATGTCCTTCTCACGCCTTGTCTGTGACAACACCCACATCACCAAGGTTCCACTGAACCCGTTCCAGGCCAGCAGCTTCCCTCAAGACTTTGTGGACTGCTCTGATGTTGAGGAGCTGGACCTCTCACCCTGGGCCTCAGTGGAGAATTAGAGGCCTGGGCCCCTGGCCTCCCACATTGCAGAGCAAAACTTCCTGTGGTCCACAATGGCATTTCTTGCATGTTCAATGACCTGGTCCTTTTGAGCTGCACACCCAGACCCAGCCTTCCTCTCAGCCTCTCCTGTGCTCACCACATGAATGGCTTGCTCAAGTCCCAGGGCAGCCGCTCTGGCCTTTCCTGTTGTTCCACTTGGCTTCCATTGCTCCTGCCTTCGCTTCCATCGCTCCCAGCCCAACCCTTCCAGGCCCATGGAAAGACTTAGACCTTCTGAGATGCCCCGCCAGTCCTGCTTGGCCGACGTCTCCCAACCTCTCCCCTAAATAACACTGGCTGAGGCGCTGGCCTTTGAGCTTTATCTTCCTCCTGTCTTCCCAGGCTAGACTGTAAGCTTCTGCGTATGGCCACGGCACTCAGCATGGTGCTCCACACCAAGCACTCAGTAAACATCGATGACGGACTAAGATGCTGGTGATGACCCCGTTTCTTTCTGAAGGCGGGCCTTGGAATAACCGCCAAATAAATAACTAGCGCTTCACAGCCTAGAAGTGGCTCCCCCACCCCCACGGTGCTGTGTTCATGGGTCTGGGGGGTGTCGTTGGGCAGGAGTTCTAAGAGCGAGTGGCTGAAGAAGGGAGGTAAGGCTCCTGGGGACATGAAGCAATAGGGTGGCAGGAGAGAACAGGTCGAGGGGCCTAGGGACCAAACAGGCAGGGAAAACAAACCAGATTCCCCTCCTGCTAAAATTTATTTCTTTTCCAGTGGTCCGGCAAACACCCTTCTCTCCCAGGGAAGTGCTTGGGGTTTATCAGATCTCCAAAGGGGCAGCTCAGGAACATTCTTTGGGCTGTTCCCCAGGATACATCCATACATCTTTCTTTTCAAAGGACCCTCTGAGTCAGCGCAGCCCAGATTCCCTGACTGGCGGGGCTGGAGGAGGAGACACTTAGCTATCCCATGGGAAGAGCCCAGGGCAGAAGGCTGCAGCCTGCCTCTGGCACCCACTTCTTGCCAACGTCTGATGCAGCCCTTCCTCTCCCTGAGCAGCCCCCTGCTCATCAGCGAAGTAAGGACAAGGGGATTTGTCCCGCTGTGCACCATGGTAGCGGCCTGGCTTTCCCCAGGAACCCTGAGTACACACCTTGTGGCTCCCAGCTTTGGTGTTCCCCTCCCTTATACAGAAACCTGCCCTCTGAGCCCAGCCATCTGCTGCCCCTACTCTTGGGGCCTGGCCACTTGAAACTCAGAGTGAGAAGGAGTCTACCATCTTGAGCCTCTAAAACACTGTGGCATACTCCGGGAATGCAGGAGCCAGGTGTTGTCTGGGGCAACCCTTCCCACCCGACCTTGGCTCTTTCACTCCCACAGGGTAGTGTTTTGTCCCCTCTGTTTCCCAGCACCTGACAGAGTAAGCATTAAGGAAACCTCTGCCACAGAATGAACAAACATTAGTTCTCGGTAACCACATCCGGGTTCTGCAAGGTGGCAGAGGTAGGAGGTGAGGGATGAGAATCTGCTCAGTCGGTGGCCTGCGCCCTGTGCTTCTGAGAACCATCTGCCCTCCATGTGTGAACAAAGGATGCCCTTACCCGGGGTGAGAACCACGGGGTCTGGGACACAGACCACACAGGCTCAAGTTCAAGGCCTACCCCCTTCCCAGACAGACCGGCGGAAATCCCCGTCCTCCGTGCTTTATTACGTAAACATCAGGTACAAACAAATGGTACAGAAGGACCATGGCCCTCACTCCTTCCCAGGCAGGCTCCTGTGAACAAGAGAACAGAGTAAGACAAAGGAGACCTGGGGCGGAGCCCAGCCAGCTAGGCCCAGAACTCGGCCACACAGCCCAACCGCTAAAGACTCCTTGCTCCAGAGGCCAGTGGTTCACCTCTGCTAACCAGGACACAGTCTCTGTGCAAGCTCCCCAAGGGCACAAACGGTGTACGTCCTGCCTGTCAAGGTTTCGCATACCTAGCACAGCGCCTGGCATACAGTAGGTGCTCAATGAATGAAGAGCTAGAGGATGTAAATGGGCCCTCTAAGGAGCCATAGCTGCTGTTTACAAGGAAGAAACTCGGCTTAGGGAGATTAAGTAGTTTGTCCAAGGTCATGCAGCTCATCAGCTGCAGAGCCGGGATGGAAACCTGAGCTGTTCTCCTCATCAATCTGCTCTGCTGCCTTCAATACATTTAACAGCAGCAAGTACACTTTCACAGGAGTGACACACATGAAAATACTATCCATCTTCACAGAGGACCCACGCACACTGTCTTTTATATACCAGGCACACATGCAAACTCATATAAACACACGCGGGCATGCACTTGAGTGCATAGGCACGTACATGAGTGAATGCTCAACATTTTCTCAGCTAGCCCCTGAACAGGGAAGGGAGCTCCCCCTGGTACCAACTGGCCAACCCAGGTGACCCCTCATATCCGTGTGCTCTCACCCCGCCTCTACGCCTCCCTCCACGAAGACAGATCCAGTGCACGGAGAGTGTTGCAGCTGACAAAGTCCCGGGGGAAGGAGTTGGACCTGAAGATGTTGTTCTTGGATACGGTGGTGATGCCCGTGTTGTCGCAGATGATGCGGGGCAAGGAGATCCTGGCCAGTGCCTGCCGCTGCTGCATGCTGAACACACCGTTGTGCTCCCACCAAAACCTGCAAGGGGCGTCACGGACGCTGTGTCTAGGGGTCACCTGGCTTGAGCTGCTCCCTGCACGTAACAGGAGCACAGAAGACTCTTGCCCTGTGACACAGGAGCACTCCAGGCCATTGGGAGGTCCTCCGCCCACAGCAGAGCACCGCATGGCTGCCTGGCTGCCTCCGCTGCTGCAGCCCAGTGGCTCCAGGAACCTATTCTAGAGGGAGCCAGGTCCACCCTCAGTCATGAAGATCTGTGCCCACAGGCATTGGGGAGAATTCCGGAGCACTAACAGAGGCTAGAACTAGACATGTAGATGTCAGAACCACAGTGAAATGGTGCACAGAGAAGTCATGCGGAAGCTAAGTTGGGACAATTCAGTGGTGACTGACACTTCCATAACTGTTCACATAAAAGCAGAGAAAGGAAAGTGGCATTTCTTCTGTCTTCTGTCCTTCACAATCAGGGCTCCAGTGTCCTCCATGCTGCACCCCCACAGGTTCAGGGCATACTAGGGGTAACACAGAACTTTCCTGGAACACCCTGGAAAATCACTGATGGAAATCAGGGCCCCCATGAGTTCAAGGATAGTCCGCGGCCACCCACAGTGCCTGAGTCACCCAGGCCCCTCCTCACCGATCACCGTCCCGAAGCTTCCTGAACTGGGTGCCAATGAGGCAGGCGAGGAGCTGGCCCACGCGGCCGTTGGGCTGCAGGGGCTCAGCCACACCACCCATCCAGATGTCGATGTTGTCGGGCGTGCCATACTGCTGTATCAGCTTCCGTGCCAGGTCCAGGTTCTTCAAAACTGTGCCCAGCTCGCCCACCGTGCTGGGCTGTGGCAGCCCACAGAAACGCCTCCAGGCGTTGTAACCTGGGAGGGGACAGGTGGCCACGGTTAGGTCCCCCTGCTGCTGCAAGGTGGGGAAGGCACTGGGAACCAAAGCCATAGGCAGAGGAACCCTGAACCCTTGGCTCAGATCAAGGGGGACAGCTGGGCATCCTCGGACCCTCACTGTCCTTCCCTTGTCCTCCCACACAACTTCCATCGTGTCCAAAAATAGGAGCATCAGGCTATTTCCTGGAGCAACCAGTGCATCTGTCTGATCCAAGAGGGATAAATTGTGTCATGCGAGCTAGCCCATAATGCACAAGTTGTAGAGTTAGGCCAATCTGGGTGCAAGTTCCAGATGCTTCCCTGACTTGGCTAGAACACTTAGCCCAGTTCCAAATGTCTGCCAGCCTCTCCACTCATCAGTCAAATGGGGGTGACAGTCTTCTCCCCTCAGAGTCCATGAACAGTGAGTCAGAATGAACTGGAGTGGAGAGAGCTTTCAGGTTGTGTATTATTTTTTACTGGGGTGCTGTCATAGCTCAGAGGGTCACAGCTTGCAAAAGAGCCTCAGAGAAGCTGAGAGTTCACCAGAGGGACCCAGGAAGAGGGAAGGGACTGGCCTCAGGTAGCTTCCTGAAAGCAAAACGTTGGGCGCCAGGCCCACCTTCACACCTGTGCCCAGGGCTGCTTCCATGGAGCAGAGGACAATCTTGGTCATTTATAATTCGTCCATCCTGGCAGGGACACCTTACAGGCCAGGTAAGAACCAGACAAGAAGCTGTCAAGGTGTTGGGGTGGGGAAAGCCTTGAGCTGCTCAGGGCTAGAAAGGGCAAGGCCCTCAAAGGGAAGGGAAGCCACAGGCTACCTGGGAGATGGGGGTGAGGAGACTCCTGCAACCCCTCACCTGGGAGGCCGTGGTCCCTGCTCCGCTGCATGTTCAGAGCCGGCAGGTCCAGCCCGATCCGCATGACCTGCTCAAACAGTCGCTCCCGGATCTCATCCACCACAATCTGGTTCTGGCGGTTCAGCTTGGCAGGGGTGGCCATGAGGCCTCGGAGGATGGGGTCGATGCCACCTGGGGGCAAGAGGGACAAGGTCAAAGGGAAGGTTCCCCTCAGTGCTGGAGCTCAGGCGGGAGTGAAAGCAAGTCCAGGTGGGGACAGGGGGTTTGGTGCCAAGGTGGCCATGGTGAGCAGGTCCTCACAGGGCACTACATGACCCTCAGGCATACAGGGCTCAGATTATGCCATCAGACATACGAGGTTGGGATGCCCCTAGCCCCCGGCCTCCCAAGTGACCGAGTTGCAACACATAGGAAGGCCTCAGCTCCCTCTGAGAGCCCTCTCCACCCCTCCTGTTTATACTCAGATCTGAAAGCAGAGTCAGGTACACGGAGACTGGAAAGTCAGACTAGGTCCCCAAGGAAGGAAAGGAGGAAGAGCTCTCCGCACCCACCCTGCCTGTACCCCCCTAGCTTCCAGCCCACTCTCCCTGGGCCCGGGCTCCACTCACCTTCCAGCACAACCCTCCAAGAGGCAAAAAAGACCTTGCTGAGCGGGACACGGGGATTGGGCATCATGGGCCGGTACTGACTATCCAGGCGGAACATGAAGGGTTGGATGAGGGTATGGCCGTAGCGAAAGGCATTGGTGAAGACATTGGCAATACGTGGGTCCACCGATTCATTGTAGCCGCGGTAGGTGGGCAGGTACTTCCTCATGGCCGCTGGCCCCAGCACCAAGGGCAGGTAGTCTCGGTAGGTGATGATCTAGAGAAAGTCACTGGGAATGGCCTCTGTACTCACTCTCTGAGATCTCTGCCTACTCCTAGCTTGGAGGATCCTTCCCATCCATCCACAGTCAGGGGGCTGCTTCCCCTAGTGCCAGATCTAAACCTAACACAGTAGCACTAAGGGGCATAAACAGAACTCTATTGCTTGCTGGCTGTGTGACTTTGGGCTACTTATCAACATCTCTGAGCCTCAAGTGTAAAATAGGGATAATTATATTACCCTCTGCCTTAGAGAATTAAATAATAAAGCTCTTTATTATAGTCCTTGCATTAACCCCCTTCCTGTGAATTATTAATGTCTCATACCTACTGTCATATAAATGCCTGGAGAGCCAGGGAAATTGAGAGTATTGAAAATACCTCCGGTGCCCAGCACATGCCTGGCCCACAGTAGGGCTCAGGATAGGTTTGTGCAAGGGAGGGAGGCAGGAAGGAATAATGGCTGCTGTAGCCTGATTTCTCCCCGTGAAAAGGGAAAGTGCAGAACAGTCTCACTCTGGAGTCTAGACTCCCACATTTCCTCCGAAGTTGAAATGAATCTCACTTGCATCTTAGTGCCAATTAAAAACTCACCTTCAACACCTGCAACTCCAGAACCCAGGCGAGAGAGAGAGACAGAGACAGAGACAGACAGAGAGGTGTGTGTCTCCACTTCTTGGGGACAGACAGGTCATCCTGGAGCATCAAAAGTTGAGAGAGAACCAGGAACAGTGCCCAGGGGTAAAGCATGGAGGTCGCCTGGCCGACGACAAAGCCAGAATGAAGAGGAGAGCAGACAAAGGAGCCAAGAGTGACAGTGAGACGGAGCAAGGGAGAAACCTTCACTGAACACCTACTGTGCGCCAGACAGCTGAACCCTCCTGGAAAACCCTCCCCACAGCATTCCTGGACCCACAGGAAAGAAGCGAGGCTGGGAAGGAGGGCAGAGAACGGGGTAGCCTTGTCAAGCACTTCACATCTGTCCAGTGTTTTCCTGTAGGTCACTGAATCCTTTCAGCACCAAGGATGAAGAAGCCAACCCTCGGGAGGGTAAGCAACTTGCCTAGGGATGGGATGTTGCACAGCTGGGATGCTGCAGAGGCACGTCTGGATCCTGAATCTGCCCGACACTCAGGGCAACCTACCTGGACCATGGCCCCCACAATCTTCCGGGCCTCCTGGTACAGCCTCTCTCCATTCCATCTGGGGTTCAGGCGCTTGAGCTGTGTGGCCAGCCGGTTGTGCTCTCGAACAAAAAGGGTGTGCATGGAGGTGAGCTCAGGCATCTCACTAGAGCGGGTGTCCCCTGTGGGAAGCAAAAGCCACCGTCATTCCTAAGACCTCCAGCCCAGACAAGGTTTGCTCTTCTGAAACTCTTTGTCTAGCCAACGCCTGAAATGTCCCCTATTTGGCCTGCTCTCCACCCCCTTTTGCACACCAGGCTCAGTGCTCACTCTTCCAGGAGGCCCCTCCTGAGGTCCCTGTCTGCCATGACAGCCCCTTCCCTTGCTCAAGGATACTTCTGAGCCAAAATACTTACTCAATAGGAGTCAGATCCGGCCCATACCTGTCAACTTCCTGTAGCTAAATTGGGGACTCCTTGAGGACCAAGGTCCAGGCCATGTGCCTTTTTGCATATAACCACCGTTTCCAACACACATCAACCCATGCAGCTTAGCACCGGGCCTGGCACAAAGTATAAGACCCACAAACACTACCTACTTAGCTGATTCTCTTGATTCAGGAAGAGCCTCAAATCAGCATGCATGTTGGCTTGACCTATTTCCCTGCCCCTATCAAACACAGCTAATGATCACAGCGCCCTCTCCTGCTAAAATTGGAGGCAACTCAGAATTCTCAACACTGGACCCCGGAAAGCCACTACCATTTGCACAGCATTGTCAGCCCCACCCTTACTACTTGCCAATGTGCGCCTATGGCGGGGCGGGGCCAGGGAGTACAGGATACGTGGAATCCACCCCTGGCCCTCTGTTCGGGGAAACTAAACAAGAACCCCTGACTCCTCTAGTCTTCTCTAAACTTTTCCCTCAAGGGGCCAGAGGGCCGGAGTCAGGGCTGTTTCAGTAGGACTCTGCGTTCAGCCTGTGCCAACTCTAGGAAGGAAATTCTAGGAGGAAGGAACATCCTGTGAGAGTAACTTCTCCATCCCATGAGCAGCGAGAGGTCATGATGATCCAAGGTGGAGACCCAGCTGGCTGCTCATGGCCAGGCTGGAGGCAGCTGTGTCTGGCCAAGGAGTGCTGCCCTGGCCTCAGTAGCCCTGAAGAGGGTGGGCCCCTTCCACAGGAAGTTCACACTGGTGCTTGGTTCTCCTCCTTCATTCTCCTCCCCAGGGCCCAGGGAAAGATCACCAGGAGCCACCAGGAAAGGGTGAGGGAGATCAAGGGTTTTCGCCTTGGCCTGCCACTGGGTTTACACTAAAACACGCTGGGAAATGTCTGGGTGTGCTGACATCACGGTCCCAACCTTACCCTAAACTGCCAGGTGTTCACATTTGAAATCCCACCCTCTCTTTTGACAGGCAGTCCAGGTGGGTAGCAGGAGGCACACTGCAGCGGCACCATCCACTAAAGCTTTCTGAGATGATGAAATTGATCTAATTCTGCACCACTCTATAGAGGAACCACTGTCCTAGGAGGCTTGAAATTTGGTTAGCACAACTTGAAATTGGTTAGTACAACTGAGAGACTGAAGTTTCTATTTAATTTAAAACAGGTAAAATTAAAACAAGCACATTGGCTACTGACTCCAGATTAGACAGTTGGGTCCCAAAGGGTGAGGATACCACGTTACTGTCTGGCTTCTAGTTCCCTGCCCCTGAGGAACTCAACTCTCCTTTCTTCCAGAGTCCAGACGGGAAAAGAGACAGAGACTGCAGCGGATAGAGAGAGGCCCTTTGGCCAGCCCTGGGTCTTCACCTTAGATGGAGGGATTTCTGTTTTTGTTTTAGCTTTCCTTTCTGTCTCCGTTCAACTTGTCACCAAGGCAACTAGACTGATATAAAGTTGGTGAGGGCAGCATCTCTCACAGGGAACCCACAGGCTGCCTGCAAACAGGCTCACGTGCCTCCCGCAGGAAATGTCTCGTGTGCCACCCGCGCCACTTTTTAGCCCCAGAACTGACCTGCCAGGAAGCAGGGGATGCGTGCGGAACGGTTGGTGAGGAGACAGGGGTCATCATGCAGGTTGTCAAAGGGCAGCAGGGCCCGGCCATTGTCCCGAAAGCGGGTGTTGACGGCCAGCAGCCCCAGCTGGTTGGTCAAGTTGCGCAGGTTCCTGGCCAAGGGGTCCTCGCTGCCGTACACCATGCTGGCGTCCACGAAGGAGGTGAGCGCGTTGATCTGGTTGCGGATGGTGATGTTGCTCCCGGTGCAGGCAGGGCAGGAGCGGAAGAAGGGGATGCAGTCATTCTGGTTCTTGATGCGGGGGTCGTTGGGCGGGATCTGTGGTACAGAGAGGGGCTAGACATACCCTCAAGGGCAGGAACAGTGGGCAGGAGAGACTTGCCCTTGCCCTTGGGACCTCTGGCCCCCTCAGCCTGTAGGGAGGCTTCTCAAAGGCCCAACAGGATCACTGTGTGGGGATCCACAAGCACCGCGCCTCTGAGTTTCAGGGGTGATGGGCAGGACTCTGAGCTGGAATGCGGGGACCCCTGGGAGTGGGCACAGCCAGTGCTGACCCTTCCTCACGAAATCTCTCCTCGTCTCTCTTCTCTGGTTTGGTCCCTAAACTCTCACTCACTTCCTCTCCCGTCTCCATCTCACCTTTGTCCCTTTCCGTCTCTCACTCACCCCTGTCCTTCTCCTGTCCCTTCCTTTCTGTCCCTCTCAGGTTCTCTCTCTCTTTCTCTCCTCTTCCCGCCCTCCTCAGCATGTGCCTCAAGCCCCCCAGCCTGGGCCCTGCGCTGTGTGTTAGGCAGTGGCCCTCTGTGAGAAGGGAGGAGAGAAGACAGCAGGGACAGCTACAGCCCGAGATTTGAGGGAGACTTGAAGGTCCTCATCCCAGAACTCTCTCCTAGCCGCACAAAGAGCAGGAATTCCAGGGCGGTCATCTCTGCCACGGCACGGCCTTTCCTCTGGAGATGACAGAGGGGCACTCGGCCCTCTGGCAGATGGGGACAAGCACTAACTCTGGAAAGCCTTCCCAGGGGCTGGGCCGGGAAACCTGGGCCCAGAGGGAAGGAGCCGCGTGCTGGGGGCGGGGCGGACCTTGAGAGGGAAGCAGGGAGGCTGCTGCAGGCAGCTGGTCTCACAGTTGAGGCCAGAGACGAAGGAGGCCCGGGCGGCGGGCTCGGGGGTGAAGTCCAGGTCGTGGTCAATCAACTGGCCCCACTGCATGAACAGGAGCGAGCGCTCCTGGTCCGGCGTCAGCTGCTCGGTGGGGAAGCGCACGATGGCGTTGGAGACCGCGCGAGCCTGCGGGACACCCGACGTCAGCGGGCGCCTCGTCCCGGCACCGCATGGGTCCGGGCCGTCCTCTGCCCGCCCGTGCTCACCAGGGGCACCACGAACCCGCTGCGCTTGACCCCGGGCGTCCAGCCAAAGGGCAGCGACACGCCGTCCTCGTACTCCGCAGGCAGCCAGCGCGCAAAGGCGCGGTTGGAGGCCCCCAGCGTGGGGCTGCGTCTGCGGGGGGCGAGCGGGGCACAGGGCGCTGACGCGGGCGGCACGGTGAAGACCCGGGCGCCGCCCTGAGCCCTCCAGAGCCCCACCTGTTGTTGCAGTGGCCGGTGATGGTGCGGTATTTGTCCTGCTCCGGGCAGCTCACCGCCACATCCTGGTAGGCGCAGCCGCTCGACTTGGACAGCAGATTCAGCTGAGCCGGTGTGAGCGCATCTGCCAGGGATAGCGGGGTGGGAGCGCTAAAACCCCCCTTTCCTATTGTAGGAAACCTGAGACTGGCTCCCTGCGCGTCCTGGGCTGGGAGCACAGGCTGAGAAGTGGAGGGATGCTAGGATGCCTCTGAGACTCCTTAGAGAGGAGGTTGGGGCTCACTGGGACATGGCGGAGTCACTAGGTGGGGTCACTAGGCGGGGTCACTAGGCGGGGTCACTAGGCGGGGTCCGTGGCGCAGCGGGTACCTGGGGAGGGAGGACTTGTTACCAGTGACATTGAAAGGCCCTGGCCGCAGAGGCCGCAGCTTCCTCTTCAGCAGGTCTAGGGCCACGTGCAGATAGTCAGCAGCCCTCACTGCTGTCCTGGTGGCTGCCACAGGCTGCTTGAAGTAGGACAGGAGCTCCATGGGGCTGGCCAGGCCACTGCGAAGCCGCTGCTTGATGCTGCATGGAAAAGGAGAACCAAAGTCGGAGGGGGGGCGGTGCACACCTCTAATCCCACACAGAGGAGGCTGAAGCAGGAGGATCACTAGGAGCCTGGGCTACATAAGCTAGTCCAAAGCCAGCCAGCACTACATAGTGAGACACTGCCTCAAAAAAAAAAAAAAAAAAGAACCAGAGAAGGGGTGCAGAGACACTCAGGTGGGTGCTCCCCAGCCCAACAGTGGACAAGCAACAGGGGAAGAAGGTTTCCTTTTATGAAAAGGTTATGGACCTGATGTCCAGACAGAAGCAAGGCTCCAAGAGGGGTGGTTTTGAAGATGTTCTCACACTCAGAGATGCAGAGTCCACCTCCTACCCCCAAGCCCCCGCTTCACCCACAAGCTTCCTGCTGCCTGCTCCTCTCTGAAAGGCCTGGGGCAGGCTGCCTACAGCTGGGCAGTGCTCAGAGTCCCCACCTTTCCCTCCGCTCCTTGTAGGCCTTGTCCACTAGCTGCTTGGCTTCCTCCATGCAAGTCAGCACCACCGAGGTCTCCACCTCCTCAGGGACGGCTGAGCAGAGCAAGAACCGTAAGGTCAGGTCCCAGACCCTGGGAGTCTGCTGAGGAGCTGCTGGGACTCAGCCCCGCCCTCAGCACACCCTGTTTCCCACCTTGCTGAACTGTTACCTGGAGTGGCACTGTCAGAGGGCTGAGGCATGACCAGAGTGGCCAGGAGGCCTGTGAGGGCCAGGACCAGCTTCATCTCTGTAATGAGCCCCCAACCCCACAAGTACCCTGAGCCCTGGGAGAAGAGAGCCCCACCATCTCCCCCGAGAGCCTTCACTCCCTCCTCCACGCCCAGCCCCACCTCAGTAGGCTGGTTTATGGTCCAAACCAGGCCTATCTGAGGAGGGGTCCACAGGCCCGTGCCCTTGCCAGCTGCAGTCACCAGCAGCCCCCCAGGACCTCAGCTCCAGGGCTCACCTGACATTGGCAACTCTGCTCACAGAATCTGGGCTTTTATGTCCTCTAAGCTGGGGGGCGGGGCGGGGCAGAGGGAGGTCTGTCCCCAGAGACTGAATTCTCCTCCCCCGAGAGGTTGGGGTACACAGAGAAAAACTCTTGAAATAGGGGAGAGGGACAAAAGAAGGGACCAGAGTTCTCCCTTAGCATTGTCACCCAGGGCTTCTCAGCTGCCCGTCGCTGGTCTACACCAAAGCTGTCCCCAGACGGCACACACAGCAAAGCCCTCCAGAATTCGGGTTAAACAGAGTATCCAGGATTCCTTTAAAACAAGCAGGAGTCAGGAACCAACAGCCTAAGGCAGTGGGGGCCAGACTATGGTATGAGTGCTGCAGTGGGCTGTTTGTGTCATTGGAAACTCCCAAAGGTTTGCCATCACTGGCCTAAGGAATCAGGGAAATAGAGCAACTCCCAATACCCCAAGAGAGGGTGAAGGAAAAACAGAGTGATGCTGTCCCAATCAGGGGGTCACCTCCACCCCAACTGTCATGCTGAGGCAGACCCCGTTCTGACGGGGCCAAGGGAACAGGAAATCTGGCTGGAGACTGTTGGGCTTCACAGGAAGGAGGACCCTGGGGGCTACAAGCTGAGAACCACTGTAACTTCCTCTATCCCTTGCCCTTCCCTCCCCTTTCTTCTTAGTTTTTGGTAGGGGGCTGCCTCCAACACCCCGCCATCTGCTCCTGGATTTCAGGAACCAGAACAGAACAGAGCTGATTGTGGTTAGTGGTCAGTTGGGTGACGCAGCCTCGGCCTCTCTGGGAAATAATCAGCACAGATGGGAGGATTGGCATCAACGACTCAGGATCACTTTGAAATAGAAGAGAGAAGGGTGGCAAAGAGCTTGTTATTTTCAAGCAGGAAGGAAAAGTACATGGGGCTTAGGACTATGTTTGTCACCTCCTGGGGCCCAGCTCATGCCAACCATGACCTTGTGCTCTGCTTTGAGCTGGCCATACCTACCTCCAGCCACCTTTCTGTCACTCACTCTTGTCTTCTCTGCCAGAACCACACTTGACCAAGGAACAAGAAAAACACCACCACAAAAGGTCACCTCAGTGTGTTCGTGGATCCTGTCACCTGCAGAAACAGAGCCCAGTGCTCCCTGAGAGAAGGAGCCATCCTTCCGGCCTTTTTCTGCCCGTGACTTGTTGTATGTAAACTTGATCACGTGGTTCTTTGCAAAGAAGGTTCTAGAATTTTGAAAATTTTTTCAATCCACAAGCAATATATTTTAATTCATGAGAAATTGGGAAAGACAAATAGACAAAAAATAAAAATACATTGAAATTACTTACAATCAAGTGAGAGTATGAGTAATTTTTTTTCAAGGTTTGCCATTGTTTTTCACATAAATAAGGAAAGGAAGGAAAATAATAAGTAGGAAGGAAAATAATTTCCTGTGATCTCAACACTTGCCAATGTCCTACTTAATAATTTGATATCATATATAGATACATATTTTTAAGCAGTGATAAGAACAACTTTAAATAATTATTTTATAATCTGCTTTTAGTACTGAACGATTTTAGCCTGAACATCTATGTCAATAAATATAGGCTTATTTTATTTTTGTGTCTGCATATTTTGTATGATTCATTAACCTAATTACTTCTTGTTAGACACTTGGGTTGTTTCCAGCTTTCATTGTTATAAACAGTATGAGGATGAACATCAGCGGAGCTAAATCTCCAACCACATCTTCAGTTATTTCCTAAGGCAACAAATCTTAAAAGTAATATTGCTGCATGTTTGGGCACACCCAGTTTTAAGGCTTCTTGATATTTATTGTCAGAGGCCTCATGAAGATTGTATCTCACCCTTCCACCACCATGCGTGAGAACATCTGTTTGCCATCACCCTCAGCAACCTTGACTATTAGTGTCCTTTTGGTCTTTGGTCTTTAAGGGAGAGTGAAGACTCAAGAAGAAAGAGACATTTAATGCAAGCACTTCCTAGCAGGGATGATAAAAAGCAAGTCCAGCGAAGGAAATGACCTTGCCACAGGTGACAGCGTGGCACAGTTCAGAATAACCTCAGTGTCAGGTCCCCTGGCTTCCAAACCACACCCATTGCCTGGTGGCCTCTGCACTTATTCCTGACTTTAACGTTCAATCGCTTATATACAAGTCCCGGCTGGGCCCTTGCACGTGCTGGGCCTCTGGAGGGCGCTGCTGGGGCTGCTGCACCCCAGGACTCCGGTCATGGGAGGGCGCCCCACCCAAGTGCACACACACCCTGCCCTCCCTTCTCTCCGCTAGGCTTTCCCAAACGTCCTCACCCCAGGGCTTAGTCCAACTGCCTGCAGGATCTTGGCTACTACTGCTTGTGAAACCATTCGTTCTTTCTCAATGCTGTTTAGGAAATAATTCAGTTGGGATTACAGCCAGGTTTCCTGTGTGCAGCCGTGTGTGTGTGTGTGTGTGTGTGTGTGTGTGTGTGTGAGAGAGAGAGAGAGAGAGAGAGAGAGAGAGAGAGAGAGAGAGAGAGGAAGAGAGAGAGACAGAGACAGAGAGACAGAGAGACAGGGAGACACAGGCATCCCCAGAAGACTATAGAGACTAGAGAGGAGGTAGAGACGATGACTATTCAGACACACTAGTTGCACTCAGCCCATAGATCTGCTCTGATTCTTCAAAATCTTTTTTAAAAGATTGGGATTATAGACTGGGATTATATATAGCTCAGTGGTAGAGCACTTGGCTAGCATACAAGGCTCTGGATTCAATCTCCAGCACTGAAATTTTTTTTAAAACTTTCTAAAATTAATTTTTAATTCTATAGCTAATACTTGGATGGAGGTATACATACATATTTTGGTTTTCTGAGACAGGGTCTATATAGTTCAGGCTGGCCTTGAACTCACTACATAGCCCAGGCTGACCTCAAACTCATGGCAATCCTCCTGCCTCAGCCTCTGGAGAGCTGCGATTATAGGCATCCACCACCACACCTGGGTTTTTTTTAATCTTAACATATACTGAGTAAGATTTAAGATCATGGATCAGGTTAAAGCTCCCTTTAACTTAGGTGACTGTAAGATAAGTAACAGCCCCAATTTCAACCCTCTTCCTCCACTCTTTAGCATTAACACTGTTGTCATTTTTGGGTTTGTCCTTCCAAGATTTTGTTTTGTATTCATTTCATATAGAAGGATCTATGGGAAATATCCTTTCTCCTTTATTTTTCCATAAGTGGCATTGCACTATACACATTGTTCTACAATGTGCTTCTTTCTCTCAACACTATATCTTGCAAATCTATCAGGCTCCATTTAAAGAACAATCTCACTTTTTGAACTATTACATAATATTTTTAGTTGAACTGGACCTCCATTATGTGATCATTCATTTCTTAATAGAATTAACATTTTTCCCTTTCTAAAAAACAATGCAGCCAGACGTGGTGACGCATACCTGTTATCCCAGCACTCGGGAGGCTGAGGCAGGATCGTTGCGAGCTCAAGATCAGCCTTGGTTACAAAGTGAGCTCCAGGCCAGCCTGAAATGCATAACGAGAGCCTGTCTCAAAAAGATGGAAAAAAAAATGCAGCAAGAGGCTTCTGTGTACACACACACACACACACACACACACACACACACAGCATTCTCCAAGGTGAAAACAGACCACAGGTTTTGTGCATTTTAAATATTTAATGGATAGATATTGTTCAACTGTCTTCCAAGCTTTATAAAAATCTCACAGGCAAGGAATAGAGACTATGGGCTCACCTTTTATTTCTTTGATTAATAGTGAGGTTTTGCATCATTTACTTATACATTCTTGTAACTCTGCTATTTGGTTTTGTCCACTTTTCTATTGAATTGCAACATTTTACTTATTTGTAAAAGTTATACATTCTGGATAAACAATAATACTTCAGCTGTTATGCTGTAAAACTCTTCAGTCAATCATTTTTTTATTTTTTTATTTTTCATTGTTTCATCATTTTTCATTTTTAATAGCATCAATTCTAAAGTAGTCAAATTTTCAAACTTATCAGTTCCTTCCTGGAATTGTCCTTTCTTTTGAGTACTTGGGTACTCAAAAGTACTTGAGTACTTTGCACTGAGGTATATCCCCAGCCACATTTTTATTTTTTATTTTGAGGCAGTGTTTCATTAAATTGCTAAATTGCCCAAGCTGGGCTCTAACTTGTGTACCTCCTGCCTCAGCCTCCCAAAGTACTAAGATTACAAGTGTGCATCACCACTCCAGGGCAAAAATCTTCTGAAGGTCATAAACATATTGTTCTGTGTATTCTCATAAAAACATAATTTTTCATATTTAGGTTGGTAATCCATCTATAACCTGTGTGTGTATGTGTGTGTGTGTGTGTGTAGCATTAATTATGGAGTCACTTTTTTCCCAAATAACCAATTATGGCTGTGCCTGTCATTGAATAACCTGTCATTTCTCTAATAATTTGGGATTCCCTTTGGTCCCTTATCATAAGTTGTACATTTCTAGATTATTCCAGTCTACTGACATACTAGTTTACTTATTCATTTCTATGTCAGCAATGCATCCCTGGAGCTACTATCATTTTCTAATATGTTTCAATGTCTGGTAAAAGAAATTCTTCTCTTGTCTTCTTTTTCAAATGAATCTTCAATATTCTAACATTTTTACACTTTCTTAAAACTTCTTAAATATTTGTCTAGTTCTGTAAGAAATCTTGATATTTTTATTTATATTGCATTTAATTAACACATAAATTTGGTAACAAATGATATTCTT